TTATTAGGCACGTAATAAGTGTACGCTTGAAAATAATTTGGCAACACTTAAATTTACTACGACTACGATCAGCTGGTGTAGTGTTTATTCCAATTTCGTTCAACGCTTGGATTTAACCTAACCTAAAAACGTGTTGTATGTTGTATAGTGTTTGAAAGACTAATTATTTATGCTTAATAGTGACTGTAGGAGAAATATAATGTGTGACGCTAGTACAAAGTGCTTTGCTGCACTCGATAAACTTTTTACACTCGACTGCGGCTCGTGCGAAAAAACGAAACGCATTCATTTCATATCATATCAGTTAATTAATTGTCATATTATCATATCAATTAATTGTCTTTGGAAACAACTTGGTTACCTTACAAAGTGAATACATCAACAAACAGACTATGAAGCTGGAAAAGATTTGCAGGTATGAGACACAAGATTTGTAGAAATAGAATCTTTGGAAAACTAATTTTGTGATTGCTAGATATTTATAAGTTTACTAGCAATTACCCGGCTCGCGTTGCTGCGCTTAACAACTATTAAATGGTAATTTGTTCTTTACGATGAATAATAAAAGTGTATGCCAAAAATAAAAATAGAATATTTTACTTAATTGCCAGTGGATAAACAATGTTTTTTTTCATTAGGTATATAACTATATAGGTAAGTTTTTAGGCGTTACTACCACCACGTGAGCACACAAAATACAGCTGTCCGTGTGAAAAGCATGCATTTTCTAAATTTAAACCGACGATAGTCAGGAATTGCTCTAGTGCCTTATAATGGTGATTGCGAAAGCAAGACACAAAGGAAATTGTAGATGCAGTAATGTGGTGGGTTAATGACAAATTGAGTGGCATTTGAATACCTGAGATAGCACGCACGATTATTATTCACTTAATAATTTATGTTAGATTGTGTGGGTATAGAACAAAAGATAAAAATATTAAGGCATTGCCATCCTTGTTTATAATACATTGATAAAGGTTTGGATAAAACGTTGGAGAATTTAAACGTTGTTGAGCGCACAGGTGTGTTGGGATTGGGGTTTAATATATTTGGAATTATTCAAAAGTAAAATAGTTTTCTGTACTACACTCTGTAGAAATATTGGGGCACAGGGGTGTACCTAAGCTCTGAGCCATTAGGTAGTAGTAGTATATTTTTGAATTTTAATGAAGTTGTGTTTGAGTGTTTCAGATTTTTCAATTCAGCATCTTGAGATTGAGTTTCAGAAATTTGTTCAAATGATATAGTTGAAGGTAGGTCAATAGCACTTATTCTTGACATGAAATCAGCAGGAATGTTTTGCTTTCTTGGTAGATACCTTATGTTGGTAGTGAACTGCCCAATTAAGTCTTGATGTAATTGCCGTGGGTTAGATGTGTCAGAGGGTTTATTGAAGGCAACAGATAGAGGTTTGTGATCTGTGTACAGTAGAACCTCTTTAATCCGAACTAATTGGGACCAGGGGTAGTTCGGACTATTGAATAGTTCGGATTACAGAACATATTGTTGTTTTTACATAGCAATTGCTAGGGAAAAGTAAAAAATACTTTATAAGGTGAAATACAGTGTTTATTTAATACAGTACCGTAATAAACATAGGGAATAAACAGTACGGTACATTACAATAGAAACAATTACACTGCGTATACCAAAAAATACAGTATCCAATGAAAACTACTGTTCTGTGTATAGAGTACAGCAATGAGGCGTTCGGATTAAAGAGGTTCTACTGTATATAACAAAACTTTGCCCTTCAAGGAGATAACGGATATGCTTTATGGATATGCAGCCAGGAGCTCCCTGTCATAGGTACTGTATCGTTTCTGAGTTGTGAGGGATTTAGAAAAAAAACAAAGAGGATCAAAGTTCCCATTACAAATTTGGTGAAGGGACGAACCTTTAGCAAAGTTCGATGCATCGACCATGAGAGCTAAAAGAGCATCAGGAGAGGGGTGAGGTAGAAGTGTGGCATTGACTAGCTGACTCTTGCATCCTCAAAAGCTTTCTTGGATTCTGAAGTCCAACTTATTTTTCGTTTGTCACATTTATGTGTATCCTTACACAAATCAAATAGTTTTTGCTGAGTAGCAGCTGCGTTAGGGAGTGACTTCTGTAAAAGTGTATAAGTCCAAGAAATCTACGAAGCTCAAGAATGGTGTCAGGAAGTTTGTAGCTGTTGTCAACAATAGCTTCAACTTTATCAGGAAGAGGAGAAATTCCTTGTTTAGAAACTGTGTAACCAAGAAAAGGGTTCTCAGTCACACCAAATATGCCCTTTGACGTACCCATTAATATTGATGTGATGCTCATTAAGTCTATCAAAAACTGTTTGCTATTGAATAATATGTTCTTTTGAGGAGGATGCTACCAAAATATCATCCAAGTAGCAAAAGATAAACTGTAGATCTTGCAGGAGGGAATTGATATATCACTGGAAAGTTTCCTTAATCCAAAAGGCATTTTGAGAAATTCAAATAAACCAAAAGGTGTTATGACAGCCGTTTTTGGAATGTCATCAGGAGCTACTGGAATGTAATAAAAAGCCCAAACAAGATCAATTTTGGAAAATATAGTTTTTCCATTTAACTGGCTGTTAAAATCATGCAAATAAGGTATGGGGTATCTATCAGGAACTGTTTTGGCATTTAGGGCAGGGTAATCCCCGCAAGGTCTCCATGAACCATCACTTTCAGGAGCAAAATGAAGTGGACAACAGCTTTTTGAAGTCCTGCATATACCTAAGTAACCCAACCATCCTATGAAACTCCTTTTTAGCTACCGCAAGTTTTTCTGGAGGTAAACGCCTAGCCCTAAAGTTCACAGGTTGGCCTGTTGTCTGAATTGAGTGAAAGACTGTGTCCTGTGAGACAGAAAATTTGGATTTTCTTTAAGTAAATTTAGATATTGGTTGATGAGTTTTGAGTATTTTCCATTTGGGTCAAGAATCAAAACGGATTGTTGATTTGAACGTTTTTGAATTCCCATAACAGATAATTGAGTCCTGTTATCGATTAGTCTTTTATTTTTAATATCGACAAGTAAACCATTATGTGATAAAAGTCTGCCCCAATTTTGGGTTAAGTAACATCTGCAACAATGAAAGACCAGGCAAACTTTCTTTTCAAGCCTAGATCAAGTTTGATGTCATGTTTACGGTACATTTTAATAACAGAACCATTGGCAGCGTATAATTGTCTATTACTTGCAGTAAATATGTCTTTGTTTGTGAGAGGCAAAACAGATATGTCTGCTCCGGAGTCAACGAGAAAGTTCCGACCACAGGGTAAGTTAGTTACAAATAAGTGGCAAGATTGAAAGCACCTGTCATCCTCAGCCGCATTTAGTGACGGGGCCGGAAGTTTTCCTGTTGGCAATTGATATTTGGTGCAAACAAACAAGGTTTAACACATTTTTTTGCATAATCGCCAAATTTGAAATGATACCAGAAAAAAAATTCACCTTGATCATTCTTCTCTTTAGGATAGAACTTGTTCTTCTGTTTGGTTGACAAATTTTGTTTATTTATCTTAAGAAGTCCATCGATGGATTGAGTTAGTTCACTTACTTGTTTTTCTAAGGTGGAAATCCGATCAGCCGATTGTGCGACATCTTCTTGAGCACAAACGTAGTCGTCGACAGCTGATACTTCAGGTACTTGGTCACCTAACTTAGCTAAGTTGTCAAGAGAATCGGTTTGAGAAGCAGCTAGAGCAGTACGAATAACACTAGGTAGATGTTGTAAAAAAATAACTTACAAAAACCTGTCAGTTACCTGTGTGCCTGCGGTTCTCATTTCACGAAGAAGAGTTGTCGGCTTCTTATCTCCGAGAAAAACTTCTGTTGTTAGTTGTTTTAGCTTGACATTTTCTGAGACTTCATATTCTGAGCAGAGCCTTTCTTTTAAGTCAGAGTGGGGAGTTTGAGACAAAGGTTTGGTAATAAAATCTGAAAGGTGACTTGCAACTTCATGTCCATTGAGCTCATTACATAATTGTATTTACAGTAGTTTTTTCCTTCCAAATTCCATGAAGAGAAAATTGACCTTCAATTTGATGAAACCAAAGTGAAACATTTCTGTTCCAAAACGGTGGAATTTTCACTTGAATTAGTAAGATTTGTGAAGCAGGGTGTACTAGGAGTTGGGGAAGATTCTTGAGTATTCATGTTGGTCTAATTGAATTAATGACAGTAACCAGTATAAATTGGGGTCATCAAATAAGGTAAGTAACTTATATAAATATACTAAATTGAAATAAAATAATTAAAAGGAGAGATGACAAATCATAGAAACACTTTTTATATTAAGAAAGAACAACAGCCTTAGGCCACCTTCACACTAAATCACCGTGACCAGGAAGTGACCCATGTTTGTCATGTACTAATCTCTGCAATATTTTCCATTCTTCTTCCTCCCTTAAACTTTTCTCGTCTTGATGTACTTGCTTGGATTTGTTTTTTACTGGTGCTGCAATTTGCTGACGCAGTTTCTGAATTTAAACTATTTCCATTCTCAGAAAACACTTGGACTTCCATCTGTGTATAACTTCCGTCCCTTCATCTATTACCACTTCACTTTCACTCATTATATTGCTCTAAATCAACAAACTTCTTCTACAAAAACTTCACTTGTTAAGAACAATGTGCACACAGACAGTGACCCTAGTCACAGTGTCCCAGTGTGAACTGCTCCATTTGAAGTAATGTGTCATACCTGAAGATTCACATAACAGGTGACCCAGTCGGTGACCAAGCTGGGACACTCTTGGGTCACTGTTTCCTTGCCAAGAAACAGTGACCTATCAAATTAAATCAAATACTCCTTTATTGCCAGTTAACATTTTTACATGCATGGCTTGTGTCACAATTTTTATAAAATACAAAATTATCAGCATTGTACCATTGGGCAGCTGTCATAAGTACCCTATTGCTTTTATTTCCTAATGAAAGTTCAATGGTCTACATTAAAATTACAACAATCAATACAACTATTATCTTACCAGCAAATCTGTATCTCTTGAGTCTGCGGATAAGTTCTGTGGTCTTCCCAGAGAACATCGGTCCAAAGATGATCTGAGGCAAAATGTCAGACTGAGTTTAATTAAGAAGGTAGAGATCAGTAATACTGTTCAATACTGTTCAATGAAATGGCGACCATGCATAGTAGGTATTTTAAGCCAAGTATGAATGGAGATGAGTGTAGGATGAGTGGTGCAATCTTGTAGTCTTGTTAGTGACTAAGGCCGACATTCCTTAGGCACAGCTGTTAATTAATAGCCCATACAGCTAATGGCAACTAAGGGACCTACAGTTTATATGCAGTGGAATCCGAACCACATATCTAGAGGATGCTCCGTTTTGTATTGCTGTCATTAAATTCCATTAAAATTACTCAAGTTATGGAGTTACGGACATCTATCTATATACAGGGTGAATCAGACCACCCGTGCACATATTTCAACGGGATATACAGCCGCTTGTGTAACTCACTGATCAGGTATACAAATGTTTACCCACTTCTAGAACAGCTAGGGATCTGAATTTTTTTGTGGAGGTCTGTCAAGGTCCTAAACCATGAAGGAATAAAAAAAAGTTCTATTTCAAATTACAACCCCGCCCCCAAAAAATTCCCTTAAATCCCACGTTTTTAGGAAAACACATATTTTTTAATCGGCTTTAGCTCAAAAACGGTAAGAGCTAGCAAAGATTTGAAAGAATTTTCATGGTTAGGGATTAAATTTTCTACAATCCACCCTTAAGCGGTTTTTTCTGAAAATCACACTCCTCCACCTTTAAAATACGCCCTACTTCTAAAATTTGTAAAATGTCTTGGATTTTGTACGTGTTTTTAATTTTTTTAATTACTTTTCGGACATATATTTGTACTTTTAATGATCCTAACATTGAAAGAAAAGTGCCCAAAGTGACATTTTAAAATTGTAAATGGCGGATTTCCAATGAAAAACGGTAGTTTTTTAACGCTTGTTGGGAAAAACCGTCTGATTCATCCTGTTTATAAACCATTTTCTAATGATTAGTGTTTATAACCTTGTCTGGGGACATCAAAATGAAAAAGTAGATGAGTCCTGGGTCTAGGTCTTGCCGCGCGACGTACGGCAATAGCTACTTCCCTAAAGGAAAATTTGTTAGACGCACATTTAGTGTAAAAATTTACCTTTCCTTTTTAAAAGAGGAGTCTTGGAGCTACTACTAAGGCTAGGATTATACTAGGACGCTGGCGTCCGGGAGGCCGGCGTCCGGGACGCTAGCGGGGCATTAAATCAAATGGGGGCGATTATACTAGGGATGCCAGCGTCGGATGCTAAAAAAGCCACCGGACGCTCGATTTTGTGCCTCCTTGGGAACGGGGTTTTATGGGGTAAAAAAGGGGTTTTGTCATATTTCTCTCTAGGCAATTTTAATTAGCTTAAAAGCATATAATTAAGTATATTAAAGTGTTTTTGTACGGTTATTAGTTACGTATAAAATTCAAATAAGTGTAAATTTATAATTCCCATGTTATTCTTAGGCTGTGGTTTCCTAGACGCGTAGTAGATGCGCAGCAGTTTAGATGCGCAGCGTCTTTTATCCAGGTCCAAAAACGCAGCTGCCGTGAGTGGTTTCCTAGACTGCGTACAATACATACGGTTGGTGCGTAATATAAGTTCACGGGAGAGATTACTAGTGGCTACTATGATGTTATACGATGATTTAGATAATGAAATGAATATTTTGGCATTAAAAGCTTTGAAGAAGCGTAAGCAGTGGAAAGTACATGTTAGGAACTATACGTGGCCTTCACGCATCTTTTAACTGTAGTGTTAAAGCAAACATGTCAATTTAAAATGAAAACAATAAATCTTCATTTACCCTGTCAAACTTTGCTTTTACTGTTATTATATTTACCTATTCGGGATTTACCGAATCGATGAAAATACCTTTTACAAGTATAACTGCAATTATCATTTTGTACTTATACGCCAACCCTGTAAGAAGTTTGGGTACTATGCTAGTAATTAATATAGAGTTATTACTAAGATGTTCGGGAGTTCTTAAAATAATTATGGGGACACTTATATTTGGGAGTTGGTTGTGCTGACTTGAAAAGAATATTTAGGTTTATTTATTAATACAGTAACAACAATAAGAAAATATGTGAGGACAAATTAATTGTAGAGAACATGTAACAAGGGGATTAAATATTAAAATCACACATTATGGGAAAATTAACACTACATAACGAATGATATGAAATATAATACTATAAAATTTTAATTGTATGAAAAGTATTTCCATAATATGTCATTAGAAGAGACAAATTCAATCAATTTTTCGTCGCTGTTGGAGAATTTTGCCTTATGTACAACATTTACTTCCAAATCCATTGCACAAGACATGTCTAAAACGCAGCGTAACTCAGATTCGACTGCTCTGAGAGCAGTCGGTCAAATACGCAGCTATTGGTGCGCGCGTATTAGATGCGCGCGCATTAGATACGCAGCCTAGGAAACCGCTTACATGAAACTCCATAAGACAAGTGTGCTGCGTCTTAGATGCGCACACGCAGCGCATCTATTACGCGTCTAGGAAACCACAGCCTTATAGAAAATATTTTTAACTGTTGGAATTTACTTGTGTATGGATATATTTTGGTCAAACTTGGCCAATTTGTTTCATACTAAGCTATTAATATTTTACTAAAAACACACAATATTAGCCTCCTTAAAGCAGCAAATCTGGGTACTCGTTAAACCTAATGTTATTTAAATAGATATAAACAAAAAGTGACAAAACATTGAAATAAAATGGCCGTCCGAGAGGCTAGCATCCCAACACAAATCACGTCATTTTAGGCTCGACTTGGGACGCTAGCCTCTCGGACGCCAGCATCCCGGACGCCAGCGTCCTAGTATAATCCTAGCCTAAGTTGACATTGGCTATTTAAATAAAATTGTATTTAAAAAAAATAGGTTTATGGAACAATGGGTACAATAGGTAAAAATGGGTATATTGGTCATTTAATGCTCTTTTTTGGAGAAGACTTTAACGGTATCTAAAATCTCTCTTGCATAATATGTCCCTAGGAGTGTAAAAACTCAACTATCTTGCTACGAGCACTGAAGGCTGCTTCAGCCAATTTACCAACAACACAGGAGTGATAGGAATACCATCGACCTTTGCCCAGTTATAGCCAGGAAGACATTCTATTTCCATGTTTTAGTTGTAGCCAGAATGATAAAAAAATACATACAGGGTGCGGCAAAAAAAACCGATCTATTTTCTGAAGAGCACTGTTCAGCGACAGGTCGTCCGAGAGTGGTGGGAGTAGGCTCGTTGGAAAGCCTACACAATGCAATTTTTTGTAGTCAAACAGCAGTGGTCGCCTGAGCTAGTGCTGTTGTTTCTGAGTAGTTTTTATAAAATAGTGAATTCATTCATTGCTACTCAGCAGCAGTTTCATGCATTCTTTCAATTAAGGCGACATGGAGAAGTTCCGTTGCGTAGCACAATAATGCGATGGGTTACCTACTTACTTTAGGACAACGGCTTCTGCGTTGAAAAGGGAGCTGGCAGGCCTTCCAAAGTCAGATCGGACGCCAGACAACAAACATTCGGTAGAACATTCGGTGCTGCTGTGGAAAACAGTCCTCGTAGGCCAGCCCGAAAACAAGCGGCTGCATTGAACATGTCTGACCGCTCAGTTATAGGAATTTTGAGGTGAATTTTCATCCCTATGGATTAGAATAATAATCTGTATAATTTGGTAATCATCCATAAAGATAATCACGACGGAACCTCTCTGTGTCGACCTAATTGAATAAAAGCACGGAACTGCCTCTGAGTTGCAATGACTAAATCATTACTTTTTAAAAACGTCTCGATAACAATCGCACATAGCTCATACGACCACTGCTCTATGACTACAAAAAATGGCATTGTATAGGCTTTCCAACGAGCCTACTCCCACCACCCTCAGACGACCTGTCGCTAAACAGTGCCCTACAGAAAATGGATCGGTTTTTTTGCCGCACCCTGTATATACACATAGTTGAACTGAGCTGTGTGCTGTATATTGCTGATTTCTGTGTGAACTTTGTAATCAAGCCACGTGCACTGAATGGACAACTTATTGTAAAGCCTCCGGATTACGTTGAATATGTAAATTGGTTTAATACCTGCTTCTATGTAATCCAATAGTTGCAAGTATTGGATTACATAGAAGCAGGTATTTAAACCAATTTATATATCATATAGTCAACTATCAAGAAAACAAAAACTAAAGGGAGAAAATTAGACTAGGGCTATTATATAAATAGTGGTCCATAAATAATGTCAATCAGCTGTTGTTACGTGTGTTGAAATATGACATACGTTTAAAAAATAATCCGTTATTTATGGACCACCCTTTATAGCACACTCTGTAAACGACTAAGTCTACCTTTTTGAATAAAAATTTTGCTTCAGCTGGTTTTTGGTTCATCAGGATGGAAAGTTTACTTCAGTATCCAATGATGATAATTTAAGCCAGTAAGCCAATGATATAATGTTCAAGTGGCAACCACAACTAAAGTTAGGATTCATTTCCTACTCTTGGAACATAAAGCGTTAATGAATTTCAACGCTTCAAAATAAGGCTTGCTAATGCAATTTTTTTTCAGTTCCTTGGTGTGTGAACCTTCTTAATGCATGTTTCTCTAAATGTAAGAAGTAAGAGATTGTAATAAGCAGCAAACCTAGAGGTCGATGGATTGAACCGTTTTGATGGTTTTTAATAATATTGTAGCTAACTGCTATGTGATGCAAAGGTTTTTGTTCATTTCATTTTGCTACATTGTCTGAGTGTGTTCCAATTTGATTAAAGAACGGGTTCATAAGTTTATAGTCAACCAGAATTATCAGTTTTTAGTCATAAAAGTTAATTTGATTTAAGATTTTTGCTAAAAGTTCCATAGCTACACTGTTGCTGTTGCATCTACAACCCATGAAGTAAAATCCATTTCATGGTACATGATACATGTATTGTAATTTTCCATCCCTTGGCCAATTTTACCAACTTATTCAATTTGCCAAAC